GCATCGCACGATGGCTTCCCTTGCAGATGGGGATGCTCACAGATGTGTCTGTGTCCCTGGTGCCCCGGGCTGTGAGGCCGAGGGTTGTTACCACACCTGGTGGATCTGTGTCGCTGGACCTTTTGTGCCCATGGTTTGAATGCCAGCTATGCCCGCTAAGCAGCAAGCTGTCCACTTTTCCCTGGAGCCTGGTGAGACACATGACTTCAAACTGAAGCTGCAGCAAGTCAGCTCACAAGCCAGGGGGTTAAGGTTATGCTGAGCTGAAGGTTAAATCTGGAAGATGTTCATGTGCGTGGCGCTCCTGGTACAGCTCCTTTTCACTGAGTGTCCTCTGGGTGCAAGCTGGTTCCTAAGAGTGTGTGTGCACATTTACACATTTGTGTTTCTGCTGTGCCCCCACGTGCTCCCAGCAGTTTTTTGTAAATGAAAAGTTAAATCATGGTGTAGCATAGCAAAAATATTAAAGGTGCTTGTGTAAATTTCACTTTTTATTCTTAGTTGGTAGCTTCCTTTCATCTCACTGCATTTTGTTCTCCTAAATAATTAAAACCTATTCAAATTATTTTCTATTTCTTTGTGACTCTCCTTATTTTCACCTGTGAATACTTTGGTGCAGGTAGCTATTGCGTTCCAACTCTTCTAACCTGTTCTTTTTTCTCCCCTTCATAGGGAGTTAGTTTGGTAGGGGAGAGAGCACAGCTGATTGACAGCTTTGAAAACACCGAGTTTTCAAATGAATGTAGTTAACTGAGTTGAACTAAAACATGACTACTTGAAAGAAGCTTGCAAAATATTTGAAAGACCTGTTGATCTGAGCAGGAGAGGCTCAGGGAACTGTAATGCCTTAAGCCAACCTCTGGGATCACCTTCAGGCTGACATCCCATCAGCATTTGTAGAGCTGACTGAACCCCACTCCTTTTAAAGATTTAGGAGCCATAATCCCTCTGCTGGATCAGATAGTAAAACAGATATTAGAGGTAGATTTCAAAAGTAGTCCTTGGGGGATTTCACTGCATCAGGGTTTTGCAGAGGAATTAAATACTTGGTAAAAAGCCATTGTGGCTTGTATTGCATTGAGCACTTTTAGGAGACTATACTCCTTTCTAGCAAAAAATTTCCATTTGAGAGTCAGGAAGTGTTTAGATTTTGCCTTTCAACCCTTTGTTGACACACCTTCAGTAGAAGGGGCTTACTGAGAAATCAGACAGGTGTTGCCTGATGGTAGCTGGTGTGTGTATTGTGATAGTGAATTACCAGCCAGAGTGCCAAGAGTGGATAATACAGTATGTCTGCATACTGTAGGAGAGCAGAGTTGCAGGCATTGGAATGTTTCTGTCTTTCCTTTTAAAACATATTATTAAGCAAAAAGCTAAATTCATGGCAGGCAGCAGTCAAACTCCAAAGAAAAGTCTGAGTTAAAGCTTCTTCCTCTTCCTCTTGAGCAGATAATGCATTTCCAGGCTCAAGTCTTTTGTTTTAAATGGCTTTCAGGTCTGTACTCAGATGGAAGTGGTGTTGCACTCCGTAGGCTGTTGGCACAACCTTTGTTCCTACTGCCAGATAATGGTTGTTGTCATCTTGTTAACTGATAGACTTGTTTGTTTGGTCAAACTCATTTTTTATATATGTATTCCCAATTAATTTCATTTTCCTGCTCAAGTGTGTTGATTAAGTCATGCTTTGGATTTCTGGGAATTGCTCACAATCTCATCTCTCATACAATGAGTGTCAGTTCACAGCAAAATGGTGAGCGGGGGACTGTCATCTCCTGCAGGGTGGGATGGTTTGGGACCACTGAGGAGCAGCACCTGTGCCAAGAAGGTGATCCTTTCTTACAGGCACTGAAGGTACAAACAGCTCCTGCCTTGAGTTTTCTTTCTGAAGCGCCTTTGCTTTGAAATCTATATACAATATCCTGTCTTGCTCTGTGGATATAGTGATTATCACTGATCCAGGACGAAGTCGCCATGACCTAGTTGCTGGCATCTATTTATGCCAGTAAATGGCTGTGCATCAGGTTACTCCTGGTTGTAGCAAAGTTGGTTGGGCTGAGAAACTCGAGCCCCTCTCTGTCTGACAGCAGGTACCCCGTGGACAGATTTACACCGGTGTTAAATGACTGTCCCTTCAGTGATTACACGCTCACAGGCGGCTGTGCCTGGGGTGGATGTGAAATCATGGCTCTGCGCCATGTCCCTAAGCCCTGTGCAGTGTCTGTGAGGCTTGAACTCCTCTTGCAATCAGGTGACAAAAAAGGCAGCTCAGCCCCCGTTGCCTCTCTTGACTCTGCTGGGCACTGCTGCCTAATCTTCCCATGTCCTGTCTGTGCTCCGAGGTAGAGGTGGGCTCCTGGTTACCCTCCTTTCCTGACATGCCAAGTTCAAGTTGTTTGCCATAAGCTGCAATTCTTGAGTCTGCCCTGTGTTTCTTTGTTGGATGGTTTGTTCATCATAACCATTTATACTATAATCATTAGCTCTTTGTTTTCTGTGAATTTAGGGTGTGGGTCCAGTGCCTTCCTTGCTGGTCATAGCCAAAGGGGCCCAACAGTTGGGGTGCCAAAGGGTGGATGAAGGGCAGATCCCTCCCTTTCCCCGCTCGTAGAGGAGCTGTGCTGTTTGATCACAGGCCTCAGTGTTTGTGCTGGTTTTGGGTACATCTCAGTCCTTCCAAAAGCGGTGATTTTTGTTCTCCCCCTCGTAAGCCCAGCTTTCTCTCTTTTAAGATGATATATATAAGATTACAGTCAGCACCACGAGTCCTGATCAGTGACTGAGGGTGTGCATCTCCTTCCATTTGTTCAATTCTCTGGATGCCTGCAGGCACTGGAGACGTTGCCTCCTGGCGTGTGCCATGCCCTCTGTGCACCACTGCTCTTCAATATTTATGCTTGCATTTCAGCCCATCACCTTTGGGTGCCCGATTTCTTTATGCTTCAGTGATGTTAAGGCATCCAGGTGATTAGCTGGCTTTTTGAGATTTTTGAGGCTTTTTGTCCTTGAAACCTTCATAGTGCTCTGAGCAAACTGACGCGTTGAAGGAAACAATGCTTTACAGATTCTCTTCCTTTTTAAATGTATGTGATACTTTTTCTACCTCTTGAGATGAAAAGACAACATAGTAAGCTCACTCTTACCTTCAGTAAGGAATTGCTTTTTAATTAAAAAACAATGAGGAGTTTCACGTTTAAAAGATGTACGATATAAATCACCATCTAGATCTGTTTCGCAACTTTTTTTTTGTAATTGTTTGGCATGTTCCCTGTTTCCGCAGGCTGGGTAAATCCTTTGTGGGTTTAATCTCTAGCCTGCAGGCACATAAAATACATTGCACAATTTGGCCTTTGCATTTTAAAGAAATCTTTTTTCGTATCTTAAATACCTGTAGCATCTTCTCTGCCACATGGCAGGCTGGTGTTGAGTGAGGAGGGAAGGGACTGGCTTGGCTTATGTTTAATCCCTTTCTCCTACCCAGTGTCTCCTGCAAATTTGGTTTTTCCTATGTTAGCAGTGTGTACACTCTGAAATGCAAATAATCCCTGACTATCACTAGCTAATCCTTTTGCTGCTGCGTCATCTGCCACCCACCCATGCACGTGCCAGTGGGGTCCATGGCCACAGCGTGCTCTTGACCAGTATGAACCTGTCACTGCTGTGTTTGAACAGCTGGGAACGGGGCTCTACTGGCCCACAGCTGCTAGAGACCTTTTCTTGTGAGGAAACAACCACCTTGGGGCTTTCACTTTTCTTTGTCTGCAAGAACAGAGGACACGGAGATGGGGAAATGCCAGTAATTCCTGTGGGTTATGTTGATAGAGTTACAGGGAGAGCTCTGCACTCATGAATGTCTGAATACCAGGAGAAAACTGAATAACCCTGGAGTAGGATTCTGAAAAACCTGATGTATTTTGAAGCAGCCCTGTACAGCAGGGAGACTGGAGAGTCTCCTTTATGTGAGATATCCAGGAAAATGGGTTTAGGTTGTTCAGTATTGAACCACTTGGGACTTTCCTTGCCATCCTCCCTGCTAGCAGATGCCTTTATTTTAGTGAGGGGTTTTGAAAAGAAACCACCAACTTCAGCCTTGATATTTTGCTGAGTAAAGGTTTCCAGATGTGAACATGCCCCATGAAAATGCTGGATTAGTTTACTATTTTAGTGGGGAACATCTTAAGAGAAATCTAATTTGTCCAAATTAGCACGGTGAATAAGAGCATCTTGTTCTGTTCCAAGTGCTCATTGCATGGTCATAGCCTCCCTTTTGGAGCCAGCTTCTGGGTTATGCTCTAGGTTCTGGTCACCATGGGCTGGTATTTGGTCTGTTCAACTCTTCTGGCCTTCGGTAAACAACTGTTGTTTTGTTGGGTTTTTTTACCTCATTTTTGGATGTAATGCTTTGAGTTCAGAAGTGAGGGGATTACTACAGAGATGTTCAGTAGATGTAGAAGATGGTTTTAAAAAATGACTGAAGTGTCAGATTTGGTATAATTTTCAAATTGATTAGGGCCTTGTTTTCAAGTACTGTTCAGTTCCAAGGTTCATGTTTTTATTTAATCCCTCTGTAAGAGTAGGAGGCCTTCTTAGAAAACAGGATGAAACACTTTTGTCTGTGGTTTTGAGTACTTCCAGGATTACAGGATGTTGTGAGAAGAATAGCATCTGTTTTGTTAGGTGGGTAATGGATGTCCTTTGCAAGAGGGAGTGTGTCCCCAAGAGAAATAAAGGCTTTATTTGTTCGAGTAAATGAAGTGCTCTTTATCTGAAGATTTTTGCCTTTGGGAAAGCTAGGATGTAGATTTATGCTCTGCTGTTTTACAGCAAGTAAAGGTCATGGGGTTTTGTCACTTTTCTGGAAGCGTGGCTGTTGTGCAAACAAATGCAGTGCCCAGGCAGTGGTTGGTGCTTTTGGTTACATGTGCAAAGCAGTCTCCATGTTTCTGGTGTGCCTTTATCCCTAGCTGAACTTCTGACTCTCTTTTGGTCTGTTCCCCATTCAGTATTCCACCGAACTGAAAAAGCTGTACTGCCAGATTGCCAAGACATGTCCCATCCAGATCAAAGTGATGACCCCACCACCTCAGGGAGCTGTCATCAGGGCTATGCCAGTCTACAAGAAAGCCGAACATGTCACCGAAGTGGTCAAACGCTGCCCGAACCACGAGCTGAGCCGGGAGTTCAACGAGGGTAAGGAGGGCAGTGCTGTGTTGGCAGTCCCTCTCCAGAGCTGTTTGGCTGATGACTGGCCACTGAGGGATGTGACAGCAGCTTCAGAGCAAACCTTCTGGAAACAGACCTCCCTGTGACACCTTGTGCAGCTTTTTATTTCCCATGCTTGGCAGGAAGGATCATGCAATGCTTTAGCTGTCCCTGTGCAAGCTCGTCCTTGAGGAAAGCACTGAAATAAACCTTGCGCCTGCCCAGGTTGGATGGATGTCTGTGCCCGTGGCAGGCACTGCCCCTCTGGCAGCCTTTCTCTGCTCTGCTTTTGCTCCTGCAATGAGAAGCAGCTGTTCTTGTGCTCAGGAATGAGCTTCCATGTCGCTGGGACAGGGATCTAGTAACAGGATGCAATATCATCTCCAGTCCTTGATCCACGCCTCAAAGACAGAGGGGCTGTTTATCTCTGGCAGGGTAATGCTAAGTGCCAGCATCAACTGTAGGCAATGTTCTTCTACATGTAACAGTATTAATGTTTTAATCTTTTACTTGCTTCTCCTTATGTTAGTGAAGTAGCAGCTGTTTTTAAAACGTCCTTTTGTTTTCTGCAAGCTCAGGGGCTGGGTTCCATTTCGCCTTGGCCACATAAGTTCACCTAAGTTCAGAGCATCTGTTTTATTCTGTGTACATTATTTATCTCCTACTGTAAAAAAACCCTGTTGGTGTCAGTTAGCAGGATGTCTTAGGAGCCTGAATCTCATTGCTGGTTACAGTGCAGCCAGCTAGACAAACCCCAGAGATACGCAAGGACTTGGGAGTATAAAATCAGAGTAGACTGAGACAGTTCTTCAAAACAGTTTTTTATATTAAAAAGTGCTTTTCTGATGGGACTGGATTTATTGAGGCTTGACACCATTCAATGATGGAGTTTTAAGAAAGGAAAAATCCCCTATAAATTCTTACTCTGAAATTACTGCTTCTCTAGAAATAGGCTGTGTTTTGAGTAGGAAATTAAGTTTATACACAAAACAAATTCTTGAGATGAACCCATAACAGACTTCTCTCATCAGAATTTAGTTGTATGTTGTAGAAACACTGAAGAAAATCTGTAGGAAGGAAGCTTTTAATTATTGGAAAGTGGCCTAGGAACCAAGAAGATCACGTTCCCTTCTGCTGCTGCTGTAAGCAATCTGATTTTTCAAGCTCTCCATTAATTAAATGCATATTTCTCTTGCTCCTTGAAACTTTTTTTTAAGAATCAAGACTGATGGAAGGGATCAGAAGAGGGCTAGCAATTGATTGGAAAAAGAGTGGGAATTGAGACTTGAAAGAATTTGCTTTGTATATGCATTAGAGGGAGGAAAATAAAGGCTTTCAGCTGGTGTGAAAATCCAGCAGAAGTTATCTGCTGGAAGAACTGCTGTGAGCTGCCATTCAGTTTACATTTGGGCTCACTTAGTCTGGGATCTTGGGAAGCCCTTGTTCAAGTTTAGCCACAGGTGTCCAGAGTGAGCTTGAGAAAGCCTGTGTTGCCTTTGGTGTCTGGCAGCAGAGTTCATGGGTAGGGGCGCTTCAAGGGCTACCCATGTGTGCTCTGATGCACCTCTGGGGCCACGTGCATCTCCCTTGATGGCAGATCTTGCCACCCTGTGCATGACCTTACTTCTTGTTTTTTCTCTTTGCCCTTGCAGGGCAGATTGCACCTCCCAGCCACCTGATCAGAGTGGAAGGGAACAGCCATGCCCAGTATGTAGAAGACCCCATCACTGGGAGGCAGAGTGTGCTGGTCCCCTATGAGCCACCCCAGGTATGTTTGTGAGCCTGAGCTGGTGGCATCCTGGCACAAAAGGGGTGGGGATTGTAACCCTGGGCAAAGGAATTTGGGTCTTGGGCTGTCCCTATCTCATCACAGTGAGTCCCTTCTTCCTTTCTGTCAGAAATGAGCTGTGAAACACCCTCCTTATTCCTCTAGATAGATGCTTATCCCTCTAGATCGATACTCCATAGAGCAGGGGTTCTTAATTTCTTTTAAGGAAGCTTTGTAGTGGGGGCCTATTTCATGCTGGTCCAGTTGCAGCCCAGCTTGGGAAATACAAGAGAGCTTGGAAAAAGTGGAGCTTTCTATCCACCATCTCTTGTGCTCATCGCCTTTGTCTCATCCAGGTCGGAACCGAATTCACTACTGTCTTGTACAACTTCATGTGCAACAGCAGCTGCGTTGGAGGGATGAACCGCCGCCCGATCCTTATCATTGTGACCCTGGAAACCAGAGAGTAAGTTGTGCATCATGAGTATAACCCTTCTGGCTCCTCTTCCACTTAGGGCAGCATTCCATATCCTTAGGAGCAGCTTAATTCAAGGGGCTGTAGGGTATTTTTTAGGTCTGTGTAGGTGGGAGTTGCCCAGCACCTGGGAAATCCAGACTGGGAAATGGAAGGTGCACAGTGAGGTGTGAAGTTGAGGGGAACTGCTGGCCATATCCATGCTGCCAGCTGATGTTTCTCCTCACCTCTCTTCCCAGCGGGCAAGTTTTGGGCCGCCGATGTTTCGAAGCCCGTATTTGTGCTTGCCCAGGCAGAGACCGCAAGGCAGACGAGGACAGCATCCGCAAGCAGCAAGTGTCTGACAGCACAAAGAATGGTGATGGTACGAAGCGCCGTAAGTAGCTGGCAGAGCTGGGCAGATTGCAGATGGGGCTGTGTCTGGGTGCTTGTGCCACAGGGGACGGAGTGGTGCTGTGCATGGGCTTGGAGGCAGGAGGGCATTAGATGTCTGTTCTCCCAGGGTGAATCAGCCTAAAAATGGAGCTGCTGTTCACAAAGTGTTTGACAATGCGGATTTGGGGGCTCCCTTGCAGCATTGCTGGTGTTAGATTAGTCCTGCCAGTGGTGGGTGGAAGGGGTGTTTATTTGCCACCTTCCAGTTGTATGTCTGGAACTCTAACCTTTTGAACCTTTGCTGCTTGTTTGGGGTCTTGCTGTTATTCTTTGCTTCATCTAGCCAGCGTTCTGTGCTGTGGCAGGTGTCTTCCAGCCACAGGGATGCAGACTGAGGCTGCACACAAACCCTGCTGTGCATTGGAGACACCCTGCCAAGCAGCCTCTCAGTGCTCTGAGCCAAGTCCTCATTGGACATGGAGGATGTGGAAATCCACTTTTGGTTTCCCCTGTACTCAGTGAAGGCAGCAGGCTGAACAGTAGGGCACAGGTTAGGACAGGAGGCAGACTGGAGTGGGGCTGTGTTTTCTCACTGAGTTCTGCTCCCTGCCAGTGGTCTTGCCTTTATGGATCACTGATTCACCAACAGCTTGTGAGCCCTGTAATACCAAAACTTTCTGGAACTTCGCTGTAAAGAACCAGTGCTTATTCTATTTGTGGCTTGCCAGGGTTTTGTCATATATCCAGCACTCCTTGGCCGATGTGTTTGCCCAAGTGACATGGCCAGCCAGCATCTGCAGTCCTGTCTGACCTAAGGAGCCAGGAGCTGCAAGGACAGTTCTGGAGTGGCTCAGGCAGAGATCCCTTCAGAGCACTACAGATCTGAGCTGGTCATACACTTCATATCTCTTTTGTATCTCTCTTTTTGCCTTTCTCTTCTTTGTATGCTCCTTCCCTCCCTCTGCCCCCTCTTTCTTTTTTTTTAATGGGATGCCTTTGGGGTTTCTCTTCCAGCTTTTCGACAAGGAACTCATGGCATACAGATGACATCTATCAAAAAAAGACGTTCCCCAGATGATGAGCTCTTGTACTTGCCAGTGAGTTCTCTTTTTATTTACCCTATGTTCAGTATCTTCAGTAGTGACTCAAGGCTCACCTAGACTTCAGAGAGAACTGAGGATGGGGTTGGGTTGTGAAGGAATAATTTTTAATTTCTTTAAACCCATGTGCTACTAATGTTAAATATATATTCTAAATTAAAAAAAATATTAAAAATTTCACTAGGTGCTAAGAATGGCTTATGCAAGACATATGGAATATCCCAAGGAATCTGTCTGTCCTGGTGCAAACACTGTCTTTGAGATCTAACTAGGTTTCCTCCTCTGTCATTTCTGGGTCTGTGGCACGTGACATTTCTCTAGAAAACTGGGTGATGTCATACTGATAGGTGGATGCTTCAGTGGCTTTTATGTGTATTGCAGTTGTAATGCAGTGGCAGAAGTGAAATATGCTGTACTGAGTGCAGACTCAGGGCAAGAACTATCTCTAACTGGCCATTTAGCCCCTTGCCATGAGCCATGTTTAGTTGGATAAATCACAAATCATGGTGTGCTTGGAGGAGAAGGGAGAGCCAAACCCAGCTCCCAAATTCAAGTGCTGTCTTTTCGGAGGGCATGCAAGATTCAGCACCAGATCTGCTTACATCTGAGGCAAGTAAAGACATTTTCTGTCTAAATAGGTTGGATCAGAATGTTGCTTTTGGGTGGCGTAGATTCACACAGAGTCATATGACAACCCCAGGATGTTCATCAGCCTGCAGTGTGAGATTATCATTCTTTAACATTATTTGTTGCACCTCTAGAACAAGGCTTAGCAGTTTTATTGCGTGAGCATACTGTATAAACAGCGTATTTGCATCCTGCTCTGGTTGTTTACTTGACATTATCTAAAACTTTTCTAAGGTGACTATCAATAAGGTCTATAAATGCAGTCCTTTAAAGCTTTTCTTTCCCCTCCAACCCCCTTTCCTTTTCCTGTGATCCAGGTGAGGGGGCGGGAGACATATGAAATGCTGCTGAAGATCAAAGAGTCCCTGGAGCTGATGCAGTACCTTCCCCAGCACACGATTGAGACCTACCGACAGCAGCAGCAGCAGCAACACCAGCACTTGCTCCAGAAGCAGTGAGTACCAGTGTGCTTGCAGTGTCAGTGCTGTGGGGGAGAGAGGAGAGAGACACAGAAGGCTTCTGCACAGTTGTTCACAGGGACACGGTGCTTAGTTGAGGGCTGAGCAGTGGGACAAAGAAGTCCTCCTTCCCCAAGCGCATGTCCTGACTGCTTGTAGGGTCCCTCTCTAGTCTTTCATCCCACATATTTCAACTTTAGGCTTTAGATGGTGAATGAGGATGGGCTCAGTGCCTCATTTCTGACTTCTAGCCAGAGGCACAGCACAGCGAGGCAGAGCCATTGACAGCCTGTGGTCAGAAGCCTGCTGCATGTGCCTGTCCCAGCTGGGACGCATAGATTGGGTGCACTCCTTTTCCATCTGACCATCTTGCTAAGAGTATGTAGAGCTGGGACTGTGAGCATGAGCTCAGCTGAATGCTTGGACCTCCTTCAGTGCATCTCTTGTGCATTGGAGGCTTGGTGTCTTAGTGGTACAACAGCACTTCAGGCTATAAAACAGACAGAGCCGAGAGCAAAGCTGAAACACAAAAAATCTCCTTTGCAGCTAGAGGGCACGTCAAAGAAAGATTCTGTACACACTTTTAAAGTACTGTCAAAAACTCCAGTTTGCCTGATGATTCTTCTCATTGCTCATGAGAAATTTTCCATCCTTTATGAACTCAGCTGACAGGCCTGCGCTGGGATTGTTCTGGGTGCTGTAAGCATGATTAGGATGGGGAAAAGAAAGGCCAAATAGGTGTTTGGGTTCCCAAAGCTGTGCACTCAGAGGCTTGTGCGGAGAATCACTTCCCAGACGGGCCATAAGCAGTGTCATTCATGGGCATGGCTTCACCTGCTGTCTCGGGTGACAGAAAATAGCCCCTGGGCTGTAGGTGGCTGCCAGCGGTAGTGCTTCGGATCTCGCGCGTTCCTGCTGGGAAGCTCTCGCGTCAGGAGGCTGTGGGTATAACTCAGTCCACTGCAGAGGTTAGCTCAGGGCCAAGGCACCACATAAGTCCCACTTGAGCCTGTGGGGATTTATTTCAGTGCCTTGGCCTTGTCTCAGGACTTCTGCAATACCACAGCTTTCTGCCAGATCTCTGTATGTGTTCGCATTTCGACCTGTGTGTTTTTAGTGTCCACTGGAGTCTTGTGGAGGTGTGAAAAAAGCCTTCTGCCAAAACGTCTGGAGCATCCAGGGGCTCTGGACTCTTTTTTGGGACATTTAAAAATCTCATTATTATTATTTACTTTTATCAGTCATCTGCGCTGTTTGTGTATACTATAGCTTGTATTTACTAGCTTCTAGGCATTGTGGCCTTTGTGTGCTCTGCTGCTTGTCTTCAAAGCTTCACCTGAACCACAGCCATTTCAGCTGAGAAATGGTTTTGTAAGCAGAAATGGACAGCAGCAGATGACAGCTTTCCATTGGTGCTGACAGCTGGCTTTGCCATAATGACTTTTTTTCATTCTTTCTGTATCAGTAGGATGGGTTCCTGGCACATGAGGTTGGTATTTGTGTCACCTTTAAGACCAGCATGTAGGAGTGCAGCCATTTAATTTAGTGAGACTTCTTTTGGCATGTCTCCTGGCACTTGTCCAGTTATATTCTCATTTTTCTCAATTGCTGAGTGTGCTCAGATGCAGGGGAGAAAGATTAAGAGCTTTTAAGGGTGTCAGGAGTGTGGAGAAAAATAACCTTCAGTGTTCGTCCAGAGCTGCTGCAGTTGTCTCTGCCAACAGCCTGCTATCAAGCAGGGTGCTCTGTGCTGAAATGCGTATGCAGGCAACAATTTCTTGGGTGGACTTTGGGTTTTGGTGCTTTTTCCTCAATAATCCATGGTATGACTTACTGTCAGAAGGAATGTGTTCCGTGCAAAGGGATGTTTAGGCTGAAAAGACTCCAAGATGTAGTTGCACCCCAAAAAAGGAGCTTCAGGTCTCAATGTGAGAATGGGGAAAGCAGTGCTTTGTAGGGAATGGTTTGGATTAAGAGCAGGTTGCTGGGAGATGTCTTGCAACTGCTTCCTTGTCAGACTGGCCAAACTCAGGAGTACAGGGACTCCTTTCTGAGTCAATTCTGGCCTTTCACTTTGTATGCAGGGACGTACTTTAAAATTTTGGTCCTGGTTCACCTTTAGTTCAACACACATATGAAAAGTGGGAGCTGGGAAAGTGTGTATGCTGTGACCAAGGTGGAATGTGTTGGAAGGTCCCAGCAGGGCTCTGTGAGAATGGAATGTTTGAAAGTTGTCTTTGGCTCTTCCTTCTCAAAATGGAAGAGCATCCACACGTGCCCCAGCGTCGCACCTTGGTGGAGGAACTGCTGGCTTTTTCAGTTTATTTTTCAGGGCAGTGATTAACATAGAAAAGCTGTCTAGGTGTGTGGAAAGAGTTTTCCCTGTCACTCCTACAACATGGAAAGCTTTTTTAAAGAATAGGAAAAGCAAGGTTGAGATGATCATGGTGAAAGGTAGTTCTAAAAATCTGTCATTTTGGAAAAGAACTGTATTATGGCTCTTGTGTACATACAGACCAGCATTGCATTTGACAGGCCAGCAGATGCAGCTGTCTGACTGTTCTGGAATAGAAAAGACAAATCTGGTGACAATTAAAATTCTGGTGTCCCACTAGGTGACCAAAATACTGCAATGCTCCACATTTTGCCAGACCACAATATTTCTCTGTCTCATCTCCTCTCTCTGCTTGCTCCTTTGTGCATGGTTTTCTCCGATTTACTCGTATGCCAAATACCTTCATGATCATAGGTGGGAAGTTGTTGGCTTTTGTTTCAGTTTCTATTCTTCCTTTCTCACTGTCAGATCCTGGGGACCCATACTTGAACTACAGCACACACATTTGTTTAGAAGAGTTTGTAGTGTGCTGCCATTTGTGTGAAACATAGATTTGCCAGATGATTACTGCTGCAAGAGGTATCAGAGGTGGCTCATGCTTTGGGGAGGGAATGTTTCCTGATAACCCTGCTGTGAAATACGTTTACCATATTCAATATTCCCAGGAAGCTACCTGCACAGTCTTTAAGGATTTCACTAGAGAACACTTCTTCATGTGGTGGGTTTCAGTCTGCTGAGCACTTTTTTCAGAGCTATCTGTATTTCAGTTTCCTGCAGCAGAGAATCAGAGAATATTTTAAGTTGGAAGGGACCCATAAAGTTCATAAGGAACACCAAGCCCAACTCCTGTGACTGAAGAGTTTCCACAAGGCCTTCCAATAGCTACCAAGGAGAGGGCTCTTGGGATCCAAGTGGGATCTTGTACCCCAGCAAACATTTCTTCCCTATCAGCAGGGCTGTAGCTATGAGCCCACTGGCTGCCTTTCAGTCTAGTGAGCAGCACAACTCATCCAGATGAGAAGGAATTCACCTCATTAGTGAGCTGTGACAGAACTGAGCTATCCAATGCCTGGAGTGCTCCAGCTGAGCTGTGAGCTGCAAGGATCCCCGGTGCTTGCTGTTGTGGGAAGGGGGCTGATGGGGAAGGTATTCTTTGTACCTTCACCTCATTAATCTCACTTCTGGTGTGAAAGCTAATAGTGGATTTTTGCATGATTTGGTTTGGTTTTGTAGTGCTGTGCTTGCATGTGAACTCCAGGCACCTGGATAGTGTTCTCACTACAGAATGGCCAAGATTAAAGGAACCAAGTAGAAGTGCTTTGTGGACTTTGAGGATACGGTGCCCTCTGCATCAGCTGGTGGCCCCAGGGACCTCTCAGCTTTTCAAAGGGAGGAAGTTGAGCTGTCATCAGTATGGCCAATAAGCACTGTTCCCCTTCTCTAGCACCAGCTTCTGGTTTTGAAGTGATTGTAGTTAGAAGTGGACTTAATGGAAGCTGCTACTCCTTTTCTCCTTTGGTTGAATGTTTTTTGTTCCTCCTGTATTTGTCACTGGAAACATTATCAGGGCCTTATTTGTACTCATGAGACTGGGACAGAATCGTATTTCCCTGTCAACTGATTGTTTTCCCTTCCTTGCCAAACACTTGTTTGTGCCTGGGGCTTTCCAGCTTCCTAAATCTCCCTGTTACATACCCTCACTGTAGGTGCTAAGACATCTGCTTTTTCCCTCTGAAAGCCCATCCTGTGATCATGAAGGTGAAAAGTGACTGTTTCTCTCTTGGTGGCTGGCAAAGGGTCCTGTACATTCATCTTTCTCTTTTCTCTGGTTCCTTCTTTACAGTCTCCTTTCGGCCTGCTTCAGGAGTGAACTCATGGACTCAAGGAGAGACCCTCCCAAACAGACCGATGCCATCCTAAAACATTCCAGCCCCCCAAACCCATCAGTATATCCCTAAACCGAGCTGGCAGGGTCACTTTGCCCAGCTGGCAGGACTAGGAACAGTGGGGCAAATACACAGCCAGATAGCAGCAGAGTGAATAGTGAGAGTAAACTTTTGAAGGGACTCAAACTTTACAAAAACAACAGACACTTCTACAGACCTCTTAGCTGTAGCACATAGCATTGCGAGGTCGGGAACCATGATGTCGTCTCTCTTGGTGTAACTTTTTTTTCCCTGTTTTTGTTATGTGTTGATACTCTTTCCTCCTCTGTATTTGTGAAACTCAGTAGGGTTTCTCTGAGCAGGTCTCAATTTTAAAATGCCTTTTGTCTTGTTTAAGTTAAAAAATGTGTCCGTGGACTTGGGGGGGCGGAAGCAGAGGATATGTGTTTAAATGGTCTGTGATAGTCAAGTTGGCCTGTTTCAGTGCTGGTCCTGCACTAATAGTGTAAGTAGCTGATGTATTTTATACTGCTGGACAGGGAGAGATAATAATTATATGAACTGGCACTGCTAAGAAATCAATTTTTTTTTTCTGTAAAAATGCCCTCAACTTTGGCATGTTGTTTCCACTTTTTTCCAACCATAGAGGGTCTGATCAAAACTGTAAGGACAACCATGTGACTTTGACTTTGCCCCAGCACTGCTGACATTGATCCAGCTTTACTGAACTTAGGGAGTTCCTCCTGACCCTGTGGGCTCGATCCAAGTGGTGGGC